TCTCTCTCTCTCTCTCTCTCTCTCTCTCTCTCTCTCTCTCTCTTGGGGCCTGTCTGTTTGTTTGTTTTTTTGCGCACAGGGCGCACCTCCCTCAGAGCACGCACAGCACACAGTAGACCGCACAGCGCAGTGCGCACCGCCCCGCACTGCGCACTGGTGCGCCGCAATTATGGTAGCATTGCTTGTTCCAGTGTCATTCTGCATAGGGCCCGCTTTTTACATTGAATTGGGGATTTGGTTTGGTCATGGGCGAGTCCTTGTGTGAGGGAGGCACCGGCTTCATCGTCAGTGGAGGGTCAGGTTGTCTAAAAGAGACGGAAAAAAGGGCAAGAAATTCCAGTAAGGACGGCCGTAGACACAGAAGAGAGACCTGAAACAGCAACAAACAAAATATAAGATATAACCGGATTTCGAAAAACAAACCATCTCATTTAGACGTTGATTATCGAACATCGATGGCTGTTCTGTTATATGAACCTCGACATATTCAATTTCCATACTATATAGATTTTTATTTATTTATTTATTATTATTATTATTTTTTTTTACCATATAGATTTAGGTGTTTTGAATTAAAGGCAACCAACCGTCAGGTTCGGCGGGGAAGAAGAGCGAAGACATCGTACTCACCGAGGTCTGGGTGACCAGCTGGGTTCATCAGGCAGGTGTGCATCCCACCTTCCGCATTCACTCGCTGTGTATTTGGGGCAACTTTCTGTCTACGTACGGCGATGATGACAGGGCGTTCTATCCGCGGGTGAAGACGGTGGTGGACCCGGGCAATTAAAAATTGGGCAAAAAATGCCAAATACTATCTGGCGTCGGGCCGATCTGCAATCAGTGGGCACTTGAAAAATGGTTAAGGCAGAAAAAAAAAAAAAAGAAAAAAAAAAAGGGTTAAGAAATGTCATTTGAAAAATGGGCAAGGAATTTCCTAAAACAGTCTGGCATGCGGTCAGATCTGCAATCAGTCGGCACTCGAGGGAGAAATAGGTAAGGAAAGGGGGGTATACATGGGTTTGGAAGAGGGGAAAGGGGGGTATACATGGGTTTTAAAGGTGGGGAAGGGGGGGGGTATACAATACTATACATGGGTTTTAAAGGGGGTTGAAAGCGGGGGTGGAAAGGGGTTTTGACTTCAAGGGCGAGCTGAGTAGCCTTGATTTTTGCTGATGCTTGGTTTTGGTTCTACAAGGTACATGTACTGAGAAAACATAATAAAAAAAATGTTCCCTACACTCCCATAACTATTTCTACAAGGTCGAAGCTCATTGGTTAGCTGTGTGGCATGGACCGTGTTGTTCAATTCCTTCATCATCATGTTCCCTACAGTATGTTCGCTACAAAATAATTTTTTTTTTTTTTGCGGTGCATTATGTTCCCTACACTCCCATAACTATTCTGAAACAAATCATGATATATCCAGAGCCTTTCAGTAGATGCACTGGACCTGATGGCTCGAGATCATATTCCCCTATTAGTGGAAGAACACCCCTGGAGGGACTGTCAGACAATAGCAGCTTTATCTACTTTTTTTGACCCCCCGGCTGAGTGCCTCCCGCCAGGTGCTAGCGGTGTCTGCTCTTATCAGCACCACTAGCAACGGCAGGGGTGTTTTGTTATAAAAAAAAAAAAAAAAAAAAAACCGAGAATTCGGCTGAGTGGTGCTTTCGGCTGGCACCTGCACAACCAGAGGTAGGTAGTGGACACCTTCCCTTTTTTTTTTTTTTTTTTTTTTTTTTTTTGGTWRTGGCCACTCTTCCTGTCAGCCTTGATTCTCCAAATCTGTCGTTGTGCTTGCTGGTACTTCTATAAGTGCTACAGGCGTATACGTCGTATCCACATATCTGATCCATGTGAAGTATTACAAACAAACATGCGCACGCGTGTGCATGCGAGAGAGAGAGAGAGAGAGAGAGAGAGAGAGAGAGAGAGAGAGAGAGAGAGAGAGAGAGAGAGAGAGAGAGAGAGAGAAAATATTCAGAAGAAAGAATCCAATGTCACACAACTAATGGAAGATTACTACAGCCACGAAAGAACATATTCCGACATACATATGATTGTGTGTGTGTGTGTGTGTGTGTGTGTGTGTGTGTGTGTGTGTGTGTGTGTGTGTGTGTGTGTGAATTCAATTAGGATTTTTTTTAGCAGTTACTCAAATTCTTGTGTGTAGCATGTGTGTGCACATGAGGCAAGCGAGAGTACGACACGTCATACTCGCGCGGCTCCGACACAACCGTCGGCCCACTGTGAGCAAAGGGCAAGTCGCACAGGTGATTTTCAATGCGGCAGGGTAAAGCCATTTCTCGTACTCAGATGTCGTTGATAAAGGGGCTGTTCCGCCGAAAACAAGCAAAGAGGGACGAGATGCAACAGCGGGAGCGGCGGGGGGGTGGGGGTCCTTTTCTTACGGAGACGGTTGAAAAGTTTTATGCAATAACCCTTTAATAAAAAGACCAACAAAAGAAGAGAAAGTTCGAATTGAGCCGT